CTTCTAGTAACAAGTGCCTTACTAGTAGTAACAATGTTTGCTATTAGAATTAAATTCTCATTTAGCCTTTCGCTCTCAGGTTCATGGGGACCTGGTGGACGAGAAAGGAGAAGCCGTTGGGCGCATCCGCCTCCGTCGGACCAATGGCAACAGTGTGGTCTCCAATGTGAAGCTTAAGGGTTCAACCACTTGGAATGAGAACGAAGCCATTGGCTGGTGAAAGTGGTGCAACCGTGCTTACCCACACAAATGACTTCATTAAAAGATCTCTGACCTGAGTGCATACTGAACCTAGAGAGCTGTTGGATGCTCTTGTACATTGCCTGGACTGCGCCATGCAGTTTCACGACCAGTTTTCCTTGGAGCATCGCGTGGTTTGGGTTGTCAAGTAAGTGCCCTTGATGATTCTTGTTACTACTAGTAAGGCACTTGTTACTAGTAGCTTCTTGTTACTACTAGCGTGGCACCTGTTACTAAGAAATAGATCCTGATGGATGGCCCTTCTTTCCAAACCAAGTCACACGAAAGCGTGTGCTCTGTCAATTCGGAGACGGCTTTGCGGACACGTCGATCGCTTCCGGTCCTGTCGGGTCCGAAGAGGCTCCCCACGCACCGACCTAAAGAGACAAAAGGAAGAGAAATGGGGGCAGGAAGAGAGAGAATTAAACTACATTTAAATTAATAGATTCTTGTTACTAGTAAGGCACCTGTTACTACTAGCGTGGCACTTGTTACTAGTAGAGAAAGTGCAGAAAAAGGCCTGAAAAAATCAAAGTGAATTACTGTATACATAAGAATTCCATAAGGAGAGAAAGGATGATGTTGACACGAGGCACGAAGACAGCTGAAGAGTCTACAGGGTGTACGGTCTATTTTGTTTTACAAGTCCTTAACGAGGCTCCAAGTCTACGGTATGACAAGTTGATGCCCCAGCACAGCCCTGCTTTACTCTTGTTGCCAGTCTTCCACAAAGATCCTTCCGTTCGCGCGCATCACAGCACAAGTGAGCCTGCGCACGAGCGAAAGTTTCCAACACGTGGTCGTCAACCTTCTCGTCGCAGATATTTTGGGTGCTGTGACTTTGTGACTCATATGTGGCACGTTTGAGGGCGTCACCTCCGTGGTGCGTCGAACTCGTTGAAGTACGCTCTGCAGACTCGCTGTTTCTGGGGTGTGACAAGAAAATGGGTGTAAGTTTTTGAGCATCTATAGTAACAAGGTTCGCTACGTTCGGGGCTCCTGGCATCGCTACTAGGAGCAAGGATGCTACTAAGGGCTCCTGGCCGTACTACTAGAGCATCCTTACTGCTAGCAACAAGAAGCTACTGTCATCGGCCATTTGTGCAAAGTCTAGAGCAACACATGGGATTGCGACCACATCGGACAGCTCTTTGAAGGTGGGCAGGACAGCAGCCTAGTGATCGGTATGGGACTCATCGGCACCGGTGCTTTGCACCATTCTCCCCTAGCGGCACCTACTTCGCTGGCGATCCGTGTCACAGCAGCGTTGCAGCGTTGGACTCGGAGGGTGCACGGTGAGTTCCGGAGTACACATCAAGTCTCGGGTTCGCAGCCCGAACCCGGTCCACGGGTCGATCACCAGTACTTCGTTCCACCATTTTTGCACTTTGGTTGCTCTTTCCTCACTTTGGTTGAACGTTTAGCTCATTTTAATACCATTTTAGATCCTGTTCACTAACTTCGGCCCACTCTTCTCGAGGTGATCATGTCCTTACAGTGATCCCTGAGCTGTGTCGCCAACGAACCCACTTGACAGTTATGGCTGTAATTGGCTACTTCTGCACACTGGCGACACAGCTCGTGCTTATCGCTTAGACAGGCTTGCAGAATATGTTGAGAAATGGTGCTTCCTCTCACGAGAGTAAGCCCAAGAAAACACCCCAACAGCTGGGGATGAATCCGCCTATTAGGCAATCAGAACATTGCAAGTTCACCAAGAAGTGCTGTGGCTTTGCCAGACAAGGCCATGTTTAAACTGTGAACCTTTCCTATGTGCCATACGAGCATCACATGACGTAATATGTTGGCATTGCACATGTGCCCAAATATAATCATACTTAAAGTTTGCAACAAAGAAGGTTTTAGACAGACTAAGGTCTCTTTTCTGACGTGGCATTGCCGGCATTGCTTCATGGCTCCGCACATTGCTCCACAGTTGCGACGTTGCCTCATCAGTTTGACCAAGCCGTGAATGTTTCAAGCGGGACCAAGCCATGAATGACAAATATGCGTATAATATGCGTCACTGTTCAATTCAGATAGAACGATGACTTTTTGACAACATCGAAGAAGCTTTCTGCATGACGTGTGGAGTAGCAGGAATCTTGCGGTTTCACTTTTGTGCGATGTGGGGTGTGACAGCCATGGTGAACAGTGCTTTTGGAAGCATCCAGACAAAGGATCCTAGGCCGGGCGCTGAATCCGCTTTTCTTTCGGGATTTGGTCAACGCCCTTGGCATGTATGCATGCGTGAAAGGATTTTGCACGTGAGAGCCACAGCATATGTCAGAGTTTGATGGCTCCATCTACAAAGGTGTTCTCGGTGTATTCGCAGTAGAGAATCGCTTTTACGACGCCTTCCGGAAATCAAAATAAAACACGACGGATGTTCGTGCAACAGCAAAAACTCTAATCGTCTGAAACGGGCGTGGCCACTCTTTGCCCAGGACTCCCTGCGTTTTCGCACATGCTTTTAGCAACCTGAAACCGCTGCTTGCGCCACGAACAACATCACGTCGCCCAAATCGCAGGGTGTAGCATTCCAACAATGGAGTTTTGTTTAGGGAAAACTAAGACAGAAATCGTGAAGGGCCTGAAGTTCTGAAGGTCTTTGGATCCTAGGTCGCATCTTAGATGTCGGGAGCACATGCAACGATGATTCTTTAGTCAATGTCAGAGCGTTAATTGTGTACCGAAATCTAGGGGAAAGCTGACAGGTTGAGTGCAACAACCGCTGTTGGCAAGGCGTTCAGCTGTTTGTGTTTGTGTCAGGGCTGCGAAATGCTGTGATTTTGTGCGGAACGTATGTAGTTATGATTTTGAATCAGGGTCGGGAAAGATGATAATCCTGTGATGCACAGCAGGCAGGGCAGGTTCAGATTTGAGCCACGCGCTGGTCATAGGACCAAAATGGATCGAAAGCCAAAACTTGTTTTCCATTGCACTCCTCGGCCTGCTTGCATTGCATAATGCCTGTCACAAAGCACAGAGGTTGCAAGCTCCGGTTGGCGTTGTTCATCAGGTTGATCGATTTAAACTGCAACGGCATCTTGCAACTTGCATCACAAACAGTCTGGTCAACTTTCAAGCAGCATATGGCACTTCAGCACGAAAATCCGCCGCTGTCACAAGAAGCAGTCGCATTGCAAAAGCCTGAACTGGCATCCTTCCCCTAGTGAGGAAGCTGGCATCGTGTGAAATGCTGGCTTCATAATTTTCCATGTCTCTTTTACGATTTGGACCTACGACTCATCACATCAAAAACTGAGTTATGTTTAGAGATGCAACTTTACGACTTGTAAATCTGTGTTCATGTTTGTTTCTCAGATTCGTTGCTTTGAGTTGAGAGTTGATTCGCTGAGCGCCCAGGTCCATGGGAGCTTGGAAGGTCGAGGCTGATTCTGCTTTCGGTTGGTCGGGTGCATCTTGTGGATCATGAAGTTCCATCATATGGTGATACTTTAAACTGTTAGAATTGAGAATGGATCAAGTCTTCTCTACAAGGAAACACATAAAATGGAAATATGTCTTCATCATATGTTACTAGTAGCTTCTTGCTACTAGTAGTAGCTGCCTCCAAACGATTGGAGATGAAGCATGTTCCTTGCGCAGTTGAGGTACATGCCTGTTTGTGGATGACCTTTGTAGTTCCCTCATGTGCAGGTTGGAATTGTGGAGCCGAAGCTCGTACAGATCCTCCTGGAACGACGGATTCCTCGTTGAATGCTAGCGTCGATAGCTCCTTGACTGGACAGATTTAAAACAGTTTTCTCAGACGAACAATTGTTGGATTCCACATGAGCCATCTTGCACGGTCTAGACCCAAGTTCTAGGTGTCGAGGTGTGTCCTCGAAACGTGGCACAGGGGAGGGTTGTTTGTGCGGGATTGCACTTGTTTGGTTTGTTTTTTTGGATGTCGGCAAGGAGGTAGCAGCCTCACTATTAGGAGGCTCGCTATTAGGTGAGGCGAACTCCAGTGTACCATTGGCGTGAGAGGTGGTATTGGTGGTATTGGTGTTGGGTTGTTTCAGAAGTCGAGAAATGAGGGGTGTGGTTGCAATGAACATGTGAGAATACAGTATCTTGCACATGTTCATTCTCACATCTTCAAATGTTCAGGGCATCTTCGAGCATAATCTTGCGAAGGATTGGGGCATCAGGGGGGTCTGTGCGGGAGTGTAGGCTCTCACATTGCCTGTTGGAGCTTCTTGAGTGACGCTCGTTGCTCTAAGGGTTTGCGAGGGCCGGCTTTCGTCCCCTCACTTCTCAGGCTTGTGTGATTTCTAGATTCTAGCTCGTTTTGGACGTGCCCATCCCACCTTTGAAGGTAGTATTATGCATCTAGAATCTAGCTCAGAAGTGGTCAGTTTGAAGCGGTACATTTTAGCTTTTGGTGTCGTGGTGCCTTTCATCACTGCGGGTGAAGCGATGGGTACAGTTCAACGAATGTGAAAAGAGTGTCAACCAAGGGTGTCATGCAAGAGCGCGCCACAAAAGTATTGCACAAGCGTGTTCCACAAGAGTGCCCTATGGAAGCAAAAGCCGGTGTCCGCACAGAGTGCCACGCAAAATGGTTGCACAAAATGCCCTACAAGAGCATCATGGCATCAGGCAGTCTTAGGTGTTCAAGTTGTATTGCACTGGAGTTTGTGAGGACCAGTTTGTTGAAACGACTTCCGCCTTTCCATGTGAAAGGACGTGTGCCATGTCGGGTCCCTTTTCACGTGGTTTGATTCAAGCCTTGGTTCCAAGGTCAAGTGGAGGAAGTCTCGCTGAGCCACCAGACCTGCGACGAACCTGAGCGGCTTCCTAGGTTCGCTCAGTCCGCCGAACAGTTTTTTCATTTTCATTGCCCCATGCCACTGACTCCGCACGGGGTTCCAAGCCCGTTTCGAGTGGAAAGCATCTCGTGCGGAAAGAAACTAGAACAAGTGCATCGCTACTAGGAGCAAAGTGCCTTACTAGTAACAAGTGCCTTACTATTAGGAACAAAGTAGAAACAAAGTGGCGACAAGCCTCCGGTGGCACATGGCATGACGGTCCGGGACGGGTGGGCCCTTGCCCGGCCGTTTGACAATTGGCTGCCGTCCACGGAAAGTGTCACCATTTTGCCAACTAGCTCCAGATGGAAAGAAACATCGAAACCACGAAGATTGGCAGGGC